TTACAGAACTAGCACGGGACTCCCGGTTTGAAAACTAAGTCCAAAAATGTAATTTTTCACACTTAAGCTTTCCAAGGGGTTCAACATTAGCCCGGAAGTTGGAAAAACGGGCGCCGGGAGGCTCCGGAGGAGAGATAACTGGCTGCTGCAAAAATTGCTGGCCTCCCACCCTTCAGTGACCTTCCCTGTGATAAAACAGAGGTACCTGCCAAAAATGAGCGAAAACCGTTGCAAAACGAATGTCCCGGAGCCAAAACACGTAGTTCGGGGTCCCGGAAATGGGCTGTTAAGCACCGAAAATCGTATTTGACCTCGAAGTGGGTTTCTCAGCCCTCAGTGCCCCTCAAAATGGATGAAAATAAGAAGTATGCCAAAAACCGGGGCAAACGGAGATGGTTAGGCGGTCCCGAACCGAGGCACACGGCCTGACGGCTCTGAAAACCGGAAACCGGACTCCGAAATGGGAAAAATGGCCTACGGCCACCAAATGTAGCCTATGGACATTGAGAGATGGTCTGCTGGACCTCTCCTTCCCCTCAGGAAAAGAAGCAGAGAAAACCGAGTCTGGTTCGCAAACCGAGACAGGGCACAGAAGAGGGTTCGGAAGTCCGGAGGCAGGGCTCACGGCCGCGACTCCGAGACTTCTGAACAAGCACATCATGCAACATCACCAAGCGCTCAATCGGTGACGTCTGAGTCTTAAGGTCGGTCAAAAATGGGGTGTCTACAACGTGGCACCTCGGCTGACACGTCAGCGTCACCTTGCCACGTGTTGGTACTCAGAAAATATATCCCCACATAATCCATATTAATGATATGTCTTGGACCCTACTGGTTATTGATAAATAATGTGAAGAAAATAATCAGCTTAGAAGAAATTAATTTGAAAAAGTATAATTAGCTGAAGCTAATTAATGAGCCAAGCTTAGAAATAAAAAACCTTTCAGTGTCAACAAAACCCCTACCTGATTTGAAAACAAAGAGCAACAAGAAAAATGAAGGGTAAAGAAATGCTCAATTGCCTACATTGCGAAGCAAACCAATTATTCCCCTGCAATACACCAAACCATGTATTCAACTTCGATTACAATGTATACTACATTTTAAATGTAAACTATGTCACTAATTATAACTCACATCATATGTACCATACATAAGAGGAGGACCACTTGTACCACCCATAAGAACTTGAGGTCGAGGTTGAGATGGAGAAATGTACATATCATGACGATGATCCTAAATTAATACCCATGACGAAAAAGAAAAAAAAAAGATTAATAACCAAAAAATTTTAAAAACAAAAGAAACATCATTGAACATTAATATTACCTTATTATAATTAATACCCACGACAAAACGAGGTTGTGATTGAGAAAAATTGACACCAAGACCATAATCCTAAATACAACCAATAGAAACTATGTAAACAAAATATTTGAATAAAAAACATGGTCATTATTTAACATTTTCTTAAAAACTTGCACACAAAAAACTATTACCTGAGTAGAATTACCACCCATGATGAAATGCGATTGTGATTGACCTTGGCAAGTATAAATAGCATCACCCGACTGCCTTGCCAGACAAACCAATTACAGCTCAAAATAATTAAATGCCAAGCAACCCAACTTGGGAAGTGTAAACAGTAATGAGGTTGTGATTCACCCATGAATAAAATTACCACCCATGATTCACCCATTAAATACCTGAATAGAATTACCACCCATGACGAAATGAGGTTGTGATTCACCTTGGGAAGTGTAAACAGTACCACCCGACTACATTGCGAAGCAAACCAATTACACATAACAACAATTAACCATATAATGAACGAACTTAATGAAATGAACTCATCAAACTAACCATATAAAGACCACATTACTATTAAATATTACCTGAATAGAATTATTACCCATGCGGAAATGAGGTTGAGATTCACATTGGGGAGTATAATCAGCACCACCCTACACACAACGAAAAACCTTAATGAAAGTGGGTCATTACTAAATAAAAGCAATGTTTTAGTTTACTAATCTACTGTGTTTTAATCGTATGCAATTTGTCATGTCCAAACCTGAATAGATTGCATCCTTTTCTTCTTTGCAATAGCTTTTTCCATCCCGCCTTTGATCCTCCTTCTTCCCTTACTAGTTGACTCTCTTTTCTTCAGTCCCTTAGCTTGGATTGGACAATCTACTTCATCACTCTGTGGGCATGCGTTGCTCGACGAATTTCTCAAATCAGTTACCTCCACTTGACCACAAATGTAGAGACTTAATTTGTCTTCAACCATTACACTCAATTCTTCACCTTTTGAAACTAACAACTGATAAGTTTCTTCACTTTCAGCGGCTGTACTCGCTATTGCTCTAAACATGGTCATTAATGACCGATATCGGTCACTTTGATGTAATTTGACATCAGCCTTCACTTCATACCCACGTGTATCTGTCACTCGTTCAGCCCTTGCTTTTTTAGTCCATCGTTTGAGTATATACTGTGGAGGAAGTTCCGTTGCATTGAATATATCTCTAAGCACCTTGAGACAATGTCGATATAATATGCCCTTCACTTCAAACTTCTTGCAACTACAACTCAAACAACCCCCTCTATCCATTGTCACAATCTTATCTTTTTTCCCATCTACCATTGTTCTTATTGTGAATTTGGTGCTCTCACCATCATTAGTAGTGCCTATAATGGATGCTTCAATGGACTGCACATACTCATTTTGGAATTCCTCAAAAATAGTTTTCGTGTAAATCTCTGCCACTTGCTTTAACATCACAGTTGGAATTGAAACCCTCGGCAATTTTTGAGACAAATTATACTCCGCTTCCAATTCCTTATACCTCTTCTCATAAAGCACCCTCTCAAAATGCTTGAAGAACTCCATCAAATTATGGTCACAATTCAGATAATCCTTCAGAAATGCATTAAAGGATTCACTAAGTTGAGTAATACTCATTCCAGCTGCCCAAGAATTCATAATATATGGCTATCCCCATTTCTCCTTCACGTGAAAAGTCTGCTCCAACCAATGATTGTCGAATGCATCATACTTATCAAGCATTTGGTCCCACTGTATTCAGAATTCTTCTTCATCATCAATGTCATGCATAAATTTTGCAAACATACCCTTCACCCCTACATCATCGAAAACAGAACTTACATGCTTGACAGCATTTTGCATCAAATGCCACGTACAAGGACGATGGTTTGTATCGGGCATGACAATTGGAATGGCCTTAGCCATCGCAGCATCTTGATATGTAAAAACAGTTTTCGGAGCTTTGTTTGACATTGCCTCCAAAAAAATTTGAAACAACCATGTAAAAGATTCAGCAGTCTCATCATACATCAACACTGCACCGAATATAACTGTTTCTCGATGATAATTAAATCCAACAAATGATCCAAAAGGTCTATGCTCATTATTTAGTTTGTAAGTAGTGTCAAATGTCACTACATCACCGAACTGAGCATAGTCCATGATCATTTGAGCATCAGCCCAAAATATATTACTTATCTGCTCATCACAATCTAATTGGACTGCATAAAAAAAAGATGGATTTTCCACAGTTTTCTTACGAAAGTAATGCAACACATTACCCACTTCCCCATATTCCAAATCTTTTTGTCTCTTCGATCTTAGGTAATTTTTTTGGTCCAATTTGGTGAAACCAAGTGATGCTCTTCTACCAGATTCCCTACCAAATAGTTCATAAGCAGACCTAAGAGGAATTCCAGATTGTGAAGCTAATTCTACTTCAATTGCTTGGGTGATAGAAATTTTTCTTTGGGATGGCAACATATGAATGCAATCTTGAGGCACAAGATCATGATTATGATGTTCAACAAAATCACAAGCAATATATTTTCCTGATATTCTATCTAACTTGATACTAAATCTGGCACCACAACCACATCTTACCTCTTGTCTTGGATTTTTGACAAGTGGATCTCGTTTGTCAATACCCCGACTTCCGTCTTTGTAACATACAAACATGCGTGATGTTATCTCCTTCGTCTGTCTGTTCTTGTTTGTATATGCCTTCCTAATACTAAAGCCCACCTTTCCCCCATACGTATTGTAAAAGTCATATGCAGCTTGTTCAGAGTCAAATGGCATTCCCACTTTCGGCTTCCAACCACAATCATCAACAATATTATTTTCTTCCATTACCTACAATTCATATATATAAACCACATTTATACTTAATTGCAGGTTCATATATATAAACCACATTCATATATATAAATCACATTTACCTACAATTCATATATATAAACCATATAATTATATGAATCCACAACTAAATTTATGAATCTGAAAATAGATCAATGCGATTAACTATATATGTAGAACATAAAATTGCATATGAAAAAATCTGACTTACTTCACTGACTGAACCCATTTCAGTTACTGAACCCATTTCATATGAAAAAATTTGAATTAATTGATTTCAAAAATCTGAATTTGAATTAACAGATTAAAATCTGAATCAAATATATTCAAATCAAATTTGAATTAACATGGGTTAATCTGAATCAAATTTGAATCAATTTGAATTAAAATCTGAATCGAATTTGAATTAATCTGAATCAAATTTGAATTAATCTGAATAAAAAATATTAAAATCTGGATTTGAATTAACAGATTAAACCTAGGCAACAGATTAAAATCTGAAATGGGTTAATAAACTATCTATACATATATACATATATATCAAAACAAATTTGAAACAAACAATAACAACCATATATGCATATATACATATATATATCTATGAATCCCCAACAGATACAGATTTTAATTTGTGAATCAATAACAACCATCTATGAATCAATCTGAAATGGGTTAAAATCTGAAAAAACTCTATACATATATACATATATATATATAAAACAGTAAGGAATCAAACTGAAATGGGTAAATCTGAAACAAATCTATATATATATATATATAATAGCAAGATGATGAAATACACCTCGCTGTCGCCGCAATGTGGCCTTCCCGCCATCGCATCGCCGCCGGACTCACCATCGCGCTGCTCCTCCATCTCTTTCGCGTCAGTGCCTCACTCTGCCTTTTCAGTCGCCTCTCACGATGCCTCTATCTCTCTGCTAGGGTTCACTGACTTAGATAGATGGTGCAAAGGCGAAGAAGACAATACAGAGAAAGAGAAAAGGGGGAAGGACGACTCAGAGAAGGGGGAAAACACGACTTAGAAAAGGGGGGAAACACGACTCAGAGAAGGAGAAAAGGAGGGAAACAAGGAAGTCTATCTATTTTTTGAACCAAAAAAAAAAAAATTAATACAAAACGACGTCGTTTTGTATAGCACTGCAGGAATGTATGGCAGGAATGTATGGCAGAAGATCCGGACTCCTAGGATTATTAGAGAATAAAATGAGTTTGGGAAACATCAACAATATGGCTCAGAATTGTTTGCCTCTAACCATGGCAATAAATTTCATAAATGCTGATGAAAATACCGCTGGGACAATTTGGTTTACTCCTAGGCTTTGTTTTCTTTTACTTTCCCTCCACAAGTCTCCCCTCAAAATCCTGATCCAAACACAACCGTAATATTTCAAAGTTGCAAACTTCTGAACAAATGATTACTTGCAGAGTTGAATTTCTTAATAATTGTAAGGATTTAATAATATGAAGTGTTGTTATGTATCCCCACTTGGGATAAAACTACTCTTAAAGCTATTGATAAAAGAAGTTTGTGGACTGTAAAATGAAAATTATGAAAAATTTAGAAATCTCTTAGATATTGATTTGTGATTATGTATCAATTTTAAGCAGTATATAACAATCCCAATCAAACAATCAAGATAAATCGACACAACTATTTTACGTGGAAAAACCACAATTGGAGTGTCTCCAATTGTGATAAAAAAAAAACCACGGGCAAAAGTCATAAAACAACCTACTAAAAAGGCATAAAGGAATTACACAGGTATACTCTCAATTATCTAGCGAATCCACGCCCGAATTGAACCAACCCCTATGTGCCTCTTCCAACCCCGTCTTCACCTCAGAATTGTCTTGCCCAACGTTGAATCCACAACGTCGATGTCGAATCACGATGATGAGCCACTCCAGAATCCACCAAAGCTTCAGGCTCGAATTCTCCAGAATCCACCGAAGCTTCAGGCTCGAATTCTCCAGAATCCACCGAAGAACAACTCTCTCTTTTGTGTAGAATAAAGAAACAATCCTTTGATGTATACTTCTTAAACTATGAGTTGAATACTTAATTAAACATAAAAAAAAAAATAAAAAAAAAAACTAGCAAAATAGCCCCAGATATAAACCCTAATATCCAAGAAGAAGATCTAGAGGCGTAACCCTAAAATATGACTGAATTGCATATTTATAGAAAACTGTCCCGCGATCTCTGCTCGAGTGTCGAAATGGTCGCTCGAGCGGACCGAAGCTCGAGAGTAGGAATTTCTGCTCGAGCAAGAAAAAAACATCTTCCAGTATTTTTGCAGGTGATCAAACTTCTGGAACCAAGGATTCTCCACTCGAGCGGACAAGCAACTTCGAATGCATTTTTGCATTTTGCTTCGGGGGCGCTGCCCCTCAACCCCGCCATGGCGCTGCCTTGGACCCACTAAGGGGCGTTGCCCCTAGATCCCCCATGAGCTGACCGGGTAGCTCGATCCCCGCCATAGTCAGTGAAGTGGCAATCATGAAAGAATTAGCACCACAAACTTCTCTGCAAGGCACAATTCAGGTTGGATTCGCATCTAAAAACTCATAGCCTCACTAAAATAAAAATTGCGAAAACAAGTACAACTGAAAAGAGTTTTATCAAACGGGATTGCCAAGAATAAAAACCTAACAAATTAGATAGAGTATTAGTTAATTCTAGTGAGTTCAAGTTTTCAAAAAAGCCGAAGCTGAGTTGCTGGCTAGTATAGTTTCATATCATTGTCCTGTTGTTACTTTAATGACTGAAATTAAATTGAGAAAACTTTTCATAATCGTCAATTTTTGGATGAAGCATGGGATGGGAATATCAAGGAGATTCTTCAAAATTCTTCAAATTTAAAAGGTAACAGGTTCTTAAGTGTTGAGAATGAGGCTTAGAATAAAAAGAATCGAGTCTGTTTTTTAAAAACTGAACAAAAAACACACCGATCTAAATTAGAGTCATTGAAGCAAAAGAGAAACTAAATTAGATCCAAGAGTGCTTTAACTTTTCATATGACCACGAGCACCTTCATGGATTTGGATAGGGATTTAGAAAGAAAAAGGAAAAGGAAAAAGTGGGTGAAATGTGAATGAAATAGAGCTACATTTCACCCACCTTTTCTCCTTCTTTTTCCAAATATACATCCAAATCTATGATCTAAACACAACCTAAAGAATGTTCTTAAAAAGTGAATACCATGTGAACACTCAATTAGGCCCTGTGGCACAGAGTAGAACCTATTTAAATTCTAATAAATCAGCTACCTACGGAGCTATAAATGAAGATTTGTGTCGAGGGATTTAAAAAAGGCTCATGACTTTTTCTTTCATATGTATTCATTCATGTTGTTTCAATAAAGAAACTGCTGCACAACACCAATTTGCTCCTAATGTATGAGTTAATAGCTGCAAGAATTGATCAGTGGGAGGTCTAATGGACTAGAGAAGTGGATCAAACAGAAATTGTGTTGATTCAGCTATAATACTATAAAATCGCTACAACTCCAATTATTTTTGACAAGTGCTATTACTACTATTAAGCTAGCTAGCAATGAAATATAATAGTAGTGTTGTGGTTTCTACAAGGAAAAAATCGACTGTCTCATTACATTCTGCAACTTGGAGTGCGAAAGAAATTGTAATAAAGCTGTGAATGCCAAGACAACTACATAATGTTGCTCAAACTTATCTTCAGATGCCGACAACGCACAGAATGTTGACTGCTGAAGTGTGTGCAAGTTGAATGGTGTTGGACGCCTTGCACAAATAACCTTTTTTTGTTTGGATAAATCAAACAGAGCTAATAATAGGAACACTCTAGAAGAATAGGAAATATCAGGCGAGCTACTAATAAAAAAGATTCATCCACTGTGTTGTAAGCCTCAAATGCTAAAGCATTAGCCTAACAGTTTGCTTCTTTCCCTTCCAAGAACACCATGAAGGATTCAAGCTGTTGCAAAGTACATTAATCTCCTCCATAATGTCACCAATAACTGAAAGATCTCAACAATTCTGAGGCAAAATCTCCAGTGCAAAACTTTATATCAGAGAGCATAGGGCTTCAATATGACCTGCTCAACATTCCATACAAAAGGTCGTGTTACTATTATCTAGAAAAAGATTTCCATTGAGCTAAGAAAGAACATCTAAAAGAGAAACAGACTCAGGTCAAATCAGGAATGCTTCTCCTCACTGAAAATACCCATTTTGGTAAGCTATTTGGTCAGCAAGAAATTATTATGGTTGCAAGCATGAAGCGAATCTTTTGAGGACCAGCTGCTCTAACATTGTAACTAAAAGAGCTATGATGCGTAGACCCTTGCTATGTCAACATATTGGACATTTGAAAAAAGGAAAAGAAAAGTGTAACTTCTTTCCTTGTAAAGGTGCAGAAGTACATGATTGTGTTCCATAATTTTCAACTAATTTATATATCATTGCATTACTATCTACAGTTCTTGGCAAACACATTTAAACTTTGAAAAAGTAAACATATGCATATATGATATGAACAGATTAAGTAAAACCCTTCTCCATGTTTCCACTTCCAGGGAGATGCTTTGTTGTGTTTGCACTGGTAAATTACATTGTTACGACTGCCCACAATCACGGCATAGTGAACAAATTGAGATGATTTCTAAAGCAAAGCGAAAATGAAATAACAAGAACACAAGTTTAGAAGAAATGACGGACCTGAGACATCTTTCCTCCCGATGTTCTTTGGTTGTGAATTATTAGTGAATTGAATGGCCTTAAAATGAAGCGTAACACATTCCCCCAGAGCTGGTACAGCGTGCTCAACAAAACCTTTGGTAGTGCAAACATCTGAACATTGAAATTTTAATATCAAAGCTTAAATATCATAATTGTGGCCATCAAATTTGGTAAAAAGAAAGAGCATGATGCATTTTCATCACCTAAACTCCAAATTACACTTGGATGCTACTTTAAAAAATGAGGGGGGAAAAACACACACATGGGATGCTGCAAATGGAAAATGTGGAGGGGGCACAAATCGATAAATAATTGCTCTAGGCACTTGAATTAGGACCAAAGAAACTTTATATGAACTCCTCCTATACCCCACACCGTAGAATGGAGAAGGGTGGGTGCAATGATTTTACTGCAGTCCCAATTCTGGGGCAATGTTTTTGTGTTTACGAATGTTGATCTCTCATTTCCATATCAATGCAATGTCAAATTATTGGAATAAATACAACCTTCTTATGGTAAAAATATTACAATATTTCATGTTCCTATGACATGCAGGATTGGTGTTACATGTCAATTTTTCCAACTTTTCTAATTTCTTGATGAGAACCATTTTTGACAATATTGTTGTAATAACTAGCATGGTTACTAAATGAAAGAATTGCAGAGTTAATCCGTTTGATTTCAACCAGCAAGCAAGGTAGAGTAGAACTTAGAAGGGTCATTTCGTAGTGTCATTGGAGATCATAGCCTATATATAACCCAATGAGATCTTATTATTTGTTTGCACCACTAACAATAATTCTATTTCATTACCAATTAAAAATGTGCAAGAATATTGGGTAAAAATCTATTATCTATATAAGGATGTTGTTTCAATTATATACAATACAGTTTTGAAATTAACTAAAAAACAACGCCCAATTAGTACACATTAATGTGTGTTTGGGAGGGAAAAGATTGAGTACACACCTAACCTTTAGCATAATGCACAAAGTGGTGGCCCCAAGACTTGAAACCATAACCTATAAAATTAACTAAATATTATAAAATTATTGATTGAATATATTCTAACCTATTTATATCATTATATGCACTTACACAACTCTTTTTCCACTTATACTTCACCTTTTCAAAAAATGAGGGAGGGAGGGGGGGGGAGAAATGTGCTGTGTTGTTGAGAAGCTCACAAGAATTCTAGATAATATGGCCAAAAGAAGACAAAAGAGAATCAGTACCCTTCAAAGTACTTACCATAGTTAAAGGAATCCCCTTCAATCTGAACATCATGAAGACCCAAAACCCTGGCAAACTTATTACTGTTACAATTACCTCCACTTTGTAAACAATCACACCAACACTTCAAAAGAGCACCATCAAAATTGATTTTAAACACGCCCTCCACCTGGGGCCTCCAACTGGGAACTCTTTTCGTTGAACAGGAGTAGCCACCTTGAGCTGTGTATGTGTATCGGTATAACCTTGTAAGTAATCAGCCACATACCTAGCCACCTCCTCTGCTGATTGACTCTTCTTGTTAAAAACCCAATCATTGCGATTGTACCAAATACTCCAACCAGTGAAAAAAAATAATCCCAAAGCCAATACATTCATCTGTAGGCTAAACTCCTGGGTCAAGAAAAGAAAGTTTTGAATTGGGCCTATATTCAGGACAGAGTAAAGAGGGCTTACTGACCAAAGTAGTGCAGCCAAATGGAAATAACAGAGTCATCAAATTGAATTACCTTGCACCTTTTATCAATCAAGTTTGATCGAACAGGGAGGATATACGAACACGTTTTCCATGCAAAGATTTCCACTTTATTCGGAATTTTTAGCTGCCAAATCTTCATTGAAAATGCCCTTTCAAATCTTCCATCATCTGAGATGATCCGTGTTTCTCTTCTTTGCAAAACCATCTCCAAATGATATATGCCAACTTAACAGAAAAAAGGCCATTTTTAGTGAAGTGCCAAACCAGTATGTCATGAGCAAGCCCTGGGCAAAGAGGGATTTTACATATCAACTCAACTTCAAAATCCAAAAAGCACTATTTGATCAGAGTTTCATAAATAAGAGAGAAATCCTTAGCATCAGCATCATGGAGGACTCTGAAAACAGAAATAGGTTTGTAAGATAAGGCCTTGGAATCCATTCCCAACACGCCAACGCAGCCCAGCCTCCAGAAAAGACTTTGCATTCCAAATAAACGTTGGGTTACTACTCAAGTTACCTTGAAGAAAGTTTGAATAAGCAACTGCCGGCCTTCAATAGCTAATAGAGCTTTATTAAAAGCCCAAAGCCAAACAGCCAAAGCTCAACTTTGTACAATATCTTTCATCTATACTTCTTTCTTTTCTTTTTCTTTCTTTTTTCCCATTCAAGTACCATCTTACAAATTGCAGACAAAATCTATTGCCTTTGATGAAGTGGAAATTTATTATATCTTTAACAATATAATCTTATCTCCAATATGAACTTCATTGATAAAAGAGACCAAGTACAAGAGTTTAACCACCTAAACATGACAAACAAAACAGGAAAATAGAGCTTTGAATAAAAACTTTAAAATCACAAGAACTACGAAGGACAACAACTAGTAGAATAGCAAAAAAACCGAACGTCTCAGAAATAAAGGAGCAAGCTGATTGAATTCTTAATGAAGCCCCAAAACCAGCTGGAGCTTAGCTTGAGAGAAGAAGCTATTGTTTGCCATAGTAAAGCTGCAAAGCTAAAAAGACTTAGCTAGGAGTAGATCATACATCCAGGGAGGTAAACCAACATGAATATCCTTACTGCCTTTCAACTGCCCCAACAATTAACCTTAACATACCAACCCTACTGAAGGAATGTGAGGTAAAGAAGCACAACACGAATCTACTGGAGAAAACAAACAAACAAACAAACAAACAAACAAAAAGAAACAAAGAGGAAGTATCAAAGCTAATTCATGAGCATAAAACCAAAGACAGAGGACAGAACTTATACTAGTGTATTCTTCTTTGCACATTACCAGAATATGTGCTAACTTATTTATAGCATTGTGTGAACTTATACAAGTCTTTTATAACTTACAATTTACTTGTTCAAAGTAAGAGGTGAAAAAACATACTCCAATAGTCCAACAAGACACAAAATAGACAGACGCACCCAAATTTTATTGGGAAAAGAATTGAAATGGAAAACTCTTTTATATATTTGATCACCTCAAACCTAGTAGAGAAGCATGACAAACCAAGGTTCACAATAATTCCTGAGCTCGTGGGTGCCAATTGGTACTGCACAATTTGAAGTGGAAGAAGTTAACAATGGTTTGCCAATGGTGCTGTTCACAAGTATGTAAATAAAAGTACAGACAAAAACAAAAGTGAAAGGCAGCAATTTGAACAGCCAAAAAACAACTTTGTACATTTTCTTACATCTCTACTTCCTCCTTTTCTTCTTTTCTTTTTTCCCTTTTTTTTTGCTTCCTCATTCATTTCTGATATTTTGCGTCCTCTAAGGGAAAAAGGTATGCTTTTTCAAGTATTCAAATCCCTTCATGAGTGTCTCTGACAAGCATCCTCAAAAACTTCCTGCAAGACAAGGAAACAAATCCATAAGTTGATAAAAGATTCTAAGAAATATACACGAAATGTTACTGTAGTGGAGGATGAGTTTTATTTTTACCCTAGAAGGGAACCCATCATAAAGATGAGCGGGTGCCATCCCAACCTTATGCACAACATAATCTATTAAAAAAAAATTGAATTTCAGATCATTGTCAAACAAATTAAGATATAAATATAGTTATTATTTTTATTTTATTGTTCATCTATTAATATTTATTTAAGTTGAGCGTATGATGGTCATATCACTATGTTAGAATTTGTATATATATATATATTTTGCTGATGTAATTAATAGATTCATTCTTGATATATAAAAAATTCTCTCTCTCTCTCTCTCTCTCTCCTCTTATCTATTCTTCTTCTTCTTTCTAAACCCTAACCATAAATTGCTTCATTATTGTAACGTCCCAATTTTCATGCCTAAATGGTGATACACTAGTCATGGCTCTTTAAAGTAAAACCGATAACAAATCCTCATACTTGCATTACAAGATGTAAATAGTCTTCATGCGATAATACAATTAATCCAACAACCATTAATTAAACAACAAATACCCTCAAGGGTTTACAAGTTCCAAGGCCTGGGCCTGGTTACACAAAACGGTTATTCAAACCCACACATATAAAGCCCTTGGCTTACAATCAGAGTCACAGCAAACGAGCACACTATGCTCTAGCCGGAAGGCTCGACACCTATCATCTACACCACCTATCAATCACTAGGCTGGTGTCTGCAAGTAGACTATACAAGTACTACCAATTTGTCATTTTTACCGGTCACAGCCGGAAGGCTCGACACCTATCATCTACACCACCTATCAATCACTAGGCTGGTGTCTGCAAGTAGACTATACAAGTACTACCAATTTGTCATTTTTACCGGTCACAGCCGGAAGGCTCGACACCTATCAATCACTAGGCTGGTGTCTGCAAGTAGACTATACAAGTACTACCAATTTGTCATTTTTACCGGTCACAGCCGGAAGGCTCGACACCTATCAATCACTAGGCTGGTGTCTGCAAGTAGACTATACAAGTACTACCAATTTGTCATTTTTACCAATCGCAACTGGAAGGCTCGACACCTCTAATCCACACTATTTGTTAAGACTTACCACCGTATTTACTCCAAAACCATTTCATGGAAACTTGTTTCTCAACATTTTTTTCTAAATACAACATTTTCAAATCAAATTTCAAAGCTCTTCATTATCAAATGAATTGATATGTCAATGCAATGATTAATAATATAATGTAATATTTCTTCCACTTTCAATACTCCTACACAATATTCCCATTGTGATCAAAATTCTCATTTATCATTTCAATGCAATTTCACAAGATGAATAAATACTTTTATTTCAATTCATCCAAGGGATAGCATAATTCCCACATTTCAAACAATCATAACAATTTAGTCATCTCAAGACTATATTAATACTTTTAAACAACAATTCCCAAAACTTCAACAATTCACATATTTCATGAAAGCATCATTTATATGTAAATAAATAAGCAATTTTCAAACATCATTTATTTTGGCACACAAAATAAATATAACAACATATTCTAAAATTTTTCAACATCCTTCTTAAAAATTCTCAATTTCTAGGTTTTCTCACCAAAAGCCATTCATCTTTAAATATTTGAGAAGATCTCACCAAAAACATATTTCTTTCATCAACATAGTTCAAAAATATAAATTTCTATTTTTAGAAGGAAAAAAAAAGTAAACTCACTTTCAAAATCATTCACCTTCTTGAATCAACAATCTATTTTTCAAAACAAATCAAAAGATGATTTCTAAAATTATTTAGATCTTACAAATATATATATAACTCAAAAAAAATCTCTACCTCAAGTTAGAAGAGAAGCTAATCCGAAAATGCAAACATCACCCGATCATAGATCTGAGATCATCATTGCGAAGATCACGACAAGCCCTCCGACTTTCATATACAACACTTTGACAAAATCACATTCTAAAGACTCCCATCTTAAGCTTAAAGATTGAGCATTAATGGAGAGAGAGAGAGAGAGAGAGAGAGAGTTGGCAGTGTGTGTTAAGTAACAAAATATCCTCGAGCAACATATCATCTTGAGAGAAGTTGTAAACTTCAACCTCAAACTTTCCTTCTTTACTGTAACCTCATCAGTGACCATGACCCAACAAAAAAACAAAAAGAACCCCGTGGATGAAACCCACTAAACATTTTGCTAAATTTAAATTTCCCTCTTATCCCTCCACGTGGAGAACCTTCACGCGGCTGACATTAGCTTAGCACCAACTTTTGAATCATGCACATGAAGCAGGCCATGAGGCACACGCCCATCTACAAAAATCTCAAACTCTGTAACAAAGCTACCAACGATATAGGACCGGAAACCTGTTCTCCACTAGCCACGGTGATTAAGATGGCTCTACCTAGAAATGGCGATGGTGCCATCATCACGAAACCCAGTCTGCCAGGGCTGTAGAAGAACCATCCCACCACTCCAAAACCGCCGGAGACTTGAAAAGCTACCAGCGAAGACTGGTAACCACAAAAACTCAATGCTTGTCTACCAACAAGCTGAACCAGTGGATGGAAAACTCACGACCGAAGCAGACAACACCCACGATGAAAATGGAAATCTTGAACAACACTACCCGGGCCTACGGCTAACATCCAAACTCGACACCGAGAACTCATCAACATCATCCGTAAATATATATAGGCCTTGTAATCCTGTTGTTTGAAATATAGTCTGTATAATCAAGATTTCAAGTCGACTTCTACTGAGATCACGATAAACAGGCCAATCACCGGAACTGAATGAAAGTGTTTGAAGTTGCTTGCGCGAAGCTTCTCGCCATTTCCTACACGTTGCAGAAACAATCACCACGTTTCGGGCAGCTCCAAGATGAGACAATATGTTCCCAATTACTTCAACAGGTAAGAACTCCATGTAAAATTCACACAAGATCAATCAGGTTCAGATTACTCAGATTACAATAACCGAACTGTCAATGTGAAAAACTTGAACAGTCCATCCTCAAAGTTCCATTCACTAACAACTTGTTTGAAACTTTGAACCCGTGTGTAATTGTTGAAGACCCAAAAAGATGGTATCTGCAAGCGACAAAGAAAAGGTGGGATTGAAGGGGCAGGGTGTTGACGCTCCAGCAATAAAGCACTTTCGGAAAAGCGAAGATAGTGGGAAGAGGGGATTGATTCGTGTGGGAGAGAGAGATGTTGTGGTTCAGGGAGAATGTGCATGTGCAGAAAGAGAAAACATGTGGGTGTAAGGTAAAGAGAGATAGCACTAGATGATATATTTAAATTTTTAAATCTCTCCTCCTACTCATCCTGCCCCACGTGAGATAAGAAAGAAAAAAAAAACAATACATTCTCTTTAATCATTCTCCTCTACCAACTGTGAACCACCACCCGAGTATAAAAATATATATATAATTAAAGATATATTTTAGAAACGTTATAATATTTTGTATCATAAAAATAAAATAAAATGATACAATTATTTTCTCAGCAAACCATCGACTATCTTATCATTTGGCCAAAAAAAAAAAAATTGGGTCATTACAATTATTCATTCTAACTGGATATCAGAGCAACAATCCATCTTTGTCTAGTATTTGTCAGACTCTTGAAGTTCTTTTGAGGTGAAAACGACGTGCTGACGTCATCTTTTGAATGATGATGTCAGCATGATGTCATAGTCTATACGGACAATATGCTCCCTCCTGGTCGCCTCTCTTTCTTGATGTTAATGGTGATTTTTCTAGAATTTTTTTGGACCATCTAATGTAAGTTTTGTATTTTTGAATGATTTTCGAGTTATTTACGTCATTTTTTTGATCTGTGATTCTACGAGCTATCTGCAATATCTACCTAGTGGGTTGTCTTCTCTGGGAACCGAAATTAGTGTCTACACCTTTCTTAAAGTTGTTTTGTGATTTGGTGGTGTTTTCTTGGAGCTTTTGTGGATTTCGGCTTCTCCCTGTTTGACAAACAGGGCGTTTTCCTCTCTGAATTGGTCCTGTAACTTGGAATTCTCTTCTTGGACTCTTCTTGTTGTTGTGTTGATGCTTGGTTATGTGTTGTTGTTTAATTGTTGGAGTTCTTGATTGATTGTTCTTGCTCTCAATCCTCTGCAATTAAGGATGATGAAATACCCAAGTCAACTACCACTAAGAAATTAAATGATTTAAATTATCTGGCTTGGGCTCATGCTATTAAGATTTTCTTACGTGGCAAGAAGAAGTCACTGTTTCTTACTGAACTTCCACCTATTGAGGATGATAAAGGTTATGATGATTGGTTGTGTGAGGATTCCTGTGTTATGGGTTGGATTTGGCATAATCTAGAACCGCATGTTGCTACTACCATGGAATTTTGTAATACCTCTAAGGAAAATTAGGACTCCTTTGCTAAATCTTTTTCAAATCAGAGTAATATCTCTCAGGTCTATGAGTTATATGATAGATTTTTGCTATGTGTCAATCTGGCCAGTCACTTCCCGAGTATTATAGTAGTCTCAAGACCTTATGGGATCAGTTATTGCAGTATCAGCCCTTCACTATTGATGTAAACAAACAGAAGCAACATTGGGAGGAATTTATAATGGCTTCCTTATTTTCCAGCTTAAATCCTAAATTGAAGGAGTTCAAGGATCAGATTCATGCTAGTGGACTTTACCGTCTACTACTAATGCCTATTCTCGGCTGTTACGTTCTTTCTTGGGCCAGTCCTAACCCTCATCTAGGTCTTCTACATTGTCTTCTTCTGCCTTGATCTCTAGTAGTAGTGATCGAGGGTCTACTTGCAAGGGTTCTCATGGCTCTTCTAGTTCACGAGGTTCTTGTGGAGGTGGTTCTCGTGGTGGGATATTTCATGGTAGTGGTTCATGTGGAGGCGGTAGTAGTGGACCTGGTTCCGACACACATGGTGATCGCAAGTGTA